TGAAACAGAAAAAAACATTGAAATGAGAGATTTCTTCACAAAGGGTTGTTTCAAAATTAACACCAGGGAGCAGAGATTGCATACAATGGGGAGTCTTTGCCACACTACAGGTTTGCTACACACTGGACATTCAGGGTTTGCTGCCATAAACAATAATCTTGTTGAGCCTCCAAGAATGTATGCTCTTTTATTCTGCAACTTTATGATGTTATGGTAAAAGAAAAAGCAGGCAATGCTGTCAATCACCTCCAAAGATTTTGTAGGTCTTTGCTGCCTTCTGGATTCCCTTGAATTTATTTCAGTAGAGCACTGAATATATAGATACATATTTATATGCACTGAAAAGAAACTCCTCCAAACCTATCTAGTTATTTGATTTTTTTCCTTTTGGAAGAACCAAGTCCTCCCCAAAAATATACATTTGTCATCATAAAAGTAGAGCCAAATGTTATAGCCTCAACAAATCTTTCTTTCTATGACCACACATTTCCATTTTCCTCCTCTCAAGAAAAATGAATTTCTTGTTAAAGAAAAGGCTGCTCCTTTTATTTACTTAGCAAGATAAACTAGATTTCAGAGCTTCAGTTTTTCTTAGCTTACTCCAGTCGTCCATTCTTTACACAGAACACTTGCTTTACCAAAGATGGCAGTGAGTCTCCTGGAAGTTTGTGGGCCATGTTGCGGAACTAGGAGGATAAAGTGATATATGGTTTAAGAAGAAGTAGAGGAAAAGTAGTGCTTTGGTCCAGCTTAAGCATGCCTAGCTCTTTCTGAAATCAAGGGCTTCCACCTCTTTTGACAGGCATAGGTATACGCCTAACTTTCTCAAGCTTGCCTTCCTAATTCTCAAAATAACATTGTATTGCAGTGTTACTTCTGCCATCATCTCCCCTCCTTTCTAAATTTAAAAAAAAATGAATCCACTCTTCACAGCCAGGTTATGCTACATCTTGGGGAAAGCATGGAAAGCCGATAGCTGAATGTCACATCACGACAGCAACCTAGCAACCATATATATATTTAAAAGATTTGTGTGTTTTATGTGTATCTGTGTGCCAGGAATAGCTGAAGCAGATCTATTCTTCCATTTGTAATCCAAAAAATGTGAAAAGAGGAAGGGAGAAACTCCAGCTGCTGGTCTATTTTGGAGGGTCCAAAGTGCCTGTCATATGCCACATCAGCAAATTTAGAATATTAACTCTCTCTTTTTTTTCTGCCAAAAATCATTCCTGCTAAGAAGAAAGAAAATAATGTATCCATAGGGCTGTTTCCTAGCTTTTAAAAAAATACAATGACTTTTTAAGTATACAGATCTATATTCTCACTTGCTACGTGTAAAATTAGAAGGGGTTGATCCTGCACAAGGGAGCTGTAAACCACAGACCACATATTTGAAAATAATCCCATGGAGCACTCAAGTGGCTTTTATGCTGGAGGAAATTGTCAGCAACCTATATGTCAGGTTTATCAAGAAGCTATAATTGACAGAAGGGCAGTACCTTCATCCAGCCAACCAAAATATCACACAATGGTGAGCAAGAGTTCATGTTCTCCATAATTCTTCATCAGACTAGTTATTAAGCAGAAGAAAGAGGAAATACTTTCCTGATGTTTAAGCTATGATCCGCTCATGTCAAGTTCTTGCTTCCCTTGAAACAGGAACCGAACAAACCTGGTGCTTTGCTTCCCACAGTATATTTATTTATTTATTTATTTATGTGTATTTATACC